CCGGCTTAAGAAAATATGTAGCGGGCTTTGCAGGTTTCTAGCACATTTTGTTTTCTTAAACAGTTGGCTGCAAACCATAAAGCTAGCTTTGAGATTCCAACTTTAAACACATTAAGTAATCTTCAAATAACTTGACTGTTATATATTAAATGCGCCATCACAACCGACTACAAAGTCAAAGCCGACTTTGCATCTGTTTTTCGCATACGCCAAACAACGGACTTAAATTTTCACCTGTAGAGTCGACTGCAGCTTTTAGAGCCAGCTCTCTGCATTTCACTTTCACCATAGTTGACTACAAGTTTTAAGAGCCGGCTCTCTGCACATTTTTCATTCTTTTTGGTCCATTTTCAGTGTAGTTCAAGTTTACTTACTTTGCAATTTTTTAGAAATTTAACTACATACTTAAATGAACCAATTAATCACTCAAATGTGTTTTGTAATCATTAAAATTATAGGTACAACCTGTATCACTGCTCATTTTTTGTCACAGATAACAAACCCACATATTTTATAAATTAGATATATACTTTTTCTTCTTCCCCCTTTCTTTTCTCTTATCCCTTTGCCAACTCCTTTCTCTCCCAACCTTCTTCTTATGTTTCCCTCCTTCCTCTTTCTTCTTCTTTCTGTCTCTTCCCCTCTTCGTCCTCCTTTTTCCTTGTTCCCAATCAGTTGGGATGTCAAGAATGATACACTTTTAAAATCACCCAAGAAATAATTAGTGTAAAAATGTAAGAAGGTTGACTCCAGAACACTCTGTCAAAATAAAAAATAAAAAATAATACAGTCGGGAACATTCATGAAAATTAATTATATAGCCAGTAATTAGACAGTTCTTAATTTCTCGTGCTATAGCTGGTACGTGCATGAGTTATAACATATATATGACGTACAATGAGAGAGAGACAGAGGAATTTAAAATAAATAAAATATAACTAGTGGCATGATTTAAAAACCCAAGCAACTTTTAGGAGGTAATAATGGCTCAATTATTGAGAAGTCGATGTAATCTCCCAACTCCAATTTTCTATTGTGTTGGTGACAGGCACCAATCTTGCACTAAGGATCCCTTTAATTTCTTCCATTTTTCTATCATATCGTTTGTTGTTGGCTTTTTGTCGTCTTCATTCAGCGTCATAACAAAATATCATTTTGAATGTACCACTGCCTAATTAATCAATCTTTTCTCTTAATTTGTTATATTCTTTTAATAAGAGAAAAATAATTGACACATTTTTCAATACTTATTCAATTTAATTATTACAATATAAGATAATAATTAATATATATTTTAATTAATTAAATTACATAACATATTTATCAAAAATGACTATGTTTTAGTTTAAAATTAAAGACAGACAAACTTAGAAATATGATCATGCATACAGAATGTAAGAATCAACTAAGTCAGTTATATTTATATTATATTTTAATAATCAAAATACAATAAGTGTCAAAAAATATGTGTATATATCAATTATTTTTTTAAAGAAAATGATTTTGGAACAACCTTTCTGTACCACCTTTTGATATAATCCGACGTATTATTTAAATAATTGGTTTTTTTAATTTATGAGACCCAGATATTAAATGCATCTACTTATTTAATGACATGTAAAAGTTGTATAAAAAAATGATATAAAAATGTTACCCTTATAGTACCGTCTTTTTTTAAAATAAAATATAATAATAACCGATTCAATTAGTTTCTATAGTTGTATATATGATTGCTTTTCTAAATTTATTTATTTTTAATTTTAAAATAATAAATAATATTGTTTTAATAAATATATTAAATCAAATAGGGTACTTATCAATGTTCAATAGTTTAATACTACATCCAAGGGACATGAAGCTGGGAAGGTGGGGACATGATTAAATGTTAATATTATTATAAATAATATAGTTTGATTGATTGTGGAATTCTAAGATGATTCATGGAGCTTTTCTTTCAATTGTAAAGGTAGAATTTTTTAACAACCATTTGCGCGTGCGTAAAGGATGTCTACCATTAATCCTTGTTTTTGTTCTTAACTTCTTTTATATAAATCTGCAAAGATATATACTTATAATATTATAATATTATATAAAATTATAATATTATAATCACAAAGTGTTATTTACTAAATATGTCTTATCGTATTATAAATAAATTTTTAAATAAAAATTAATTATTTAATAATATATTATAATTATAAATTTACATCTCACCATAATATTGTAAATAAATCATTTTCATATATAAATATGTTTATATGGAAAGGATTAATTATATACTAACAAAATAAGATGGATGAGTAGATTTCCAAATTGATATCCCCAGGAGATCATGATTAAGTTTGATTCTCTCTGTCTATTATTATTATTTTTTAGTAGTGAATAGGAATTGCATTTATAATATAAAAAACATTAATTGATTTATCTTATAATTTAATACAGTGTAATATATATTTATTAAAAATTATTATTTTTAATTTAAATTTAAAGATATACAAAATTCAAAATACAATCATGCATATAAAATACAATAATTGATTAAATTAGCTATACTAAGATTATATTTTAATGCCTGAGTCCAACAAGCATTGAGATGTATGTCAAATTAAAATATATAATAAATTTTTTAATATAAAATCTTTAAACAAGGAAAATAATTATTATACCCTCTAATTCGACACATCTTTAGATATCTTATCTAATTTAACTATCAAAATATAATATAAACATAGCCAATTTAACTAATTTTTTCATATTGCATATATGATTGTATCTTTAAGTTTATCTATTTTTAATTTCAAATTAAAAAATAATAATTTTTTAATAAATATATTATATAATATGCTAATCAAAGAGTATATTGATTAATATCCCTTAAACAACTTATGCAAAAAAATTAATTAATTAATAAGGAAAAACAAATCATATAAGTGTCAACATCCAATCCCACTTAATTCTATCACTATTAGATTTTCAAATTTACTTAAAATATATTTTCAAATTTGATATCATAAAGAAATAATAAAGGCAGAATACCCAAATCCACCCCCAAAGTATAGTGGTAGGGACGGATCCACCCTCGAACAAAAAACGGGGACAAATCCACCCACAAAGTTTTCGACTTGGACAAATCACTACAAATTTAACGTGTGACGTCATTTGACATCAGCAATCTGTTAATTTGACGTCATCTGACGTCAGCAATCCGTTAATGAATTAATGAATTACTGATGTCAAATGACGTCACACGTTAAATTTAGGGTGATTTGTCCAAGTCGAAAACTTTGTGGGTGGATTTGTCCCCATTTTTTGTTTGAGGGTGAATTCGTCCTTGCCACTATACTTTGAGGGTGGATTTGGGTATTTTGCCAATAATAAATACCACAAATGACTTGTTGGTATGAGTGGAAAGAGTTCGGTTCTTCTTAAACAAAATTTCAAGTTCGAGTCTTGTAAATAAAGAAACACATGTTAAGAGAGTTTCCCCTTAATAAAATCTGACACAAATTGATCTTGGATTAATCGGGACCCAATGTGATTACCGAATATTGAGAAGTTAATACAAAAAATAATAATAATAATAATAAATACCATACATCATATAAATTAATTAACTACAGTGAAACTTCCATTAAAACCCCAGAATGATAAAAATCTAAAGAAAATAAGAATAATTTGAAGGAAGAACAGCGATAAAGATAGGCTA